TTACAATGTTTGTATGATTATGTGCGGTAATTGGACATTGGTATTATATTATTATGTATACTCGCGATATGAACGCGACGTCATTATTGTTGTTGTTGTTATTGTTATTTTAATTTGCTTTTGAATAAGTACAATAATAATATAATGTGCAATATTGTTTTTGATGCCGTAGTAGTAGTTATTATAATATAGCTTGTGAACATTTGCTTTTTTGACAATATATGCGTTTACATGTCGTTAACTATTATCATTAAAATCAGTAATAGCGCTGTCGCACTGCACCGTTGTTAATCGACTAACAATATTATTATAAAATTATTATTAACAGTGGCGATCGCATCATCATTGCAATGCAACGTACATAAGCCTATAGTGTTTAATACCTKTTATAAGACATTGTGCATGCGGTATAAGTTATTTATTAAACGTATAAGAAAACTTTTGGGTTGGTATTATACCATTATAGTAAATCTTACATACTAATAAAGTAAAGATACTAGGTAATTAGTTTTATGAATTTATTAGAAAAAATATAAGCAATCGTTGTGTGTAAGCACCTACCTAAATATTTATAACGAGTACGAAAGATCAAGGTATATTATTTAGACGCATTAGATATCATAAAGCTTCATATTGAACATAATATTATAGTTGGTTAAGCAATTAATAAGCATGAAGGAATGATGAAAAATAAACATGAGCGATAAAAAACGACGAGAGAGTCTCAGAGAGACCTAAAAATTAATTCGGAAGAATTGCTTTGAAAAGTCAAAAGAATATTAAGARRTCCATTACAAGGGAAGATATTCATAAACTGATAATAGCTGGTCGGTAATCGATATTTTCTTAAAGCTTTGCGTTGCTAGGTTTTATGTGTACCTACCTAACACGTTACGGTTCTGAATATCAATTTCTTAATTTTTTAGAAATGATTTATTTGAGAGTGTATTTATCACGTTTAAATTGTTTTATTATTATTATTTATTTGGTATTTATTATTGTAATATTATTTTATTGTATCTATCATATTCATATACAATTAAACGCAATACTGTTGTGTTAATGAATTATTTACGGCGTCATGAGTATAATAACTTTTAATAATATTATACCATCATAATTTTACGGATAATGCTTTTGTAGAGAGTTGATTGCTTTATTTTTGAGGAAAGATGATTACCGAATTGCACGTCATTTACGGTTTAATTACAAGTTTTAACACTAAATGGAATGGTGCGAATGTCATCAGCTGGTTAGGTTTTGCGTTTTTACTTTTGACGGTTTAGATGATATTATATTTGTCTTAACATTATTGTTCCTGTGGTATAAGCACTATAAGCATAGATAGTATGTGGTACGATATTCAATGCTAGAGAACGTTGCAATATATTTCTCTATCATATTCCACATGTTATCTCTAATCTATTTTTACTAATTTTAAATTACTGTGCAATCTGTAAATATATTTCTTTCATATTTTCAATTTTCGCTCCAAATACCTATCGTCCGAAAAACCATGCTAAAGGGCGGATGGAGCGATACAAGTGCCAAATAAATAAATTTTATATACAAAGTAATTTTTTAAAGATAAACTAATTTTTTTCTATTTTTATTTTTACTGTTTTTATATTTCAAACTTTTTTGAATGTCGTCATACATTAATTTCAACTTTCTAAGCAGAACATTTTTCTAGTAATTTTTAAAAATTAAAATTAAATTTTTGACGTTGACGTACATAGTTATGATTAGAAGTAACTTCAAATACTCAAACCCAACTAAATATGGTTGTCTAAAAAATAATATTTCTAAAAACCTTATAAATACGAGCTTTTTGAGAAAATGAGTATTTACTGTTTACCTACATAAGAGATTCATACTTTATTATTTATGTTTATATCTTTTCGAATTTCGATCGACTTTTATAGTTGTAGTAATCAATATAGAACATATACAAGATTGTCTTAGATTCCCTGGAATAACCATACCACAACAAATCTCTGCCCACGTTGAATATGGTCACCGACAATGGTTAGCTCGGCACTTCTCCTTTATAATAACTACGCATGATTTTTGGTTGATTGTGTGATATTAATATACAATAATATTTATAATTGCGCATGCGACAATCGATCGTAATGTGAAGAGATTTTCATTGAAATTTTCATCACTGATGTTAATATATTGTTATAGCCATTGGACTCAGACAACATAGTCGGCACCGGTATTGTGAAGAGAAAGGCAAGGGAAGTTTCGACAAACGAACCAAGCTCAACGAAAAAACGGTCACCGCTTACTGACACTGGTAAAATATGACGGAAATAAGTATAATATTACAACTAAAATATTATATTATAATGTCGATAATTTATTTTTTTTTATTTATTTATTTCAATAATTAATTAGGTGAATGGTAATTAGTATATTATTTTTTGACTATTTATTTTTATGTGTGAATATTAATATTGCAATAAAGTTAATTTATATATGAAATCCTTTTTTCTTTCATTTATTTTTTAATATTGCACGTGGAATAAGGGCTATATTCTCGTTAGTTTGGTAAAACTCTTTACCGTATATTTTAATACTATTCACTGTAATATAATAATTTAATGATTACTGAAGAGACCTATACGAATTATACAATTTATTGTTATTCTTCGGGATAGGTACCTTTATATTGTGTGTTATTATTATTATTATTATTACTATTATTATTTATATCAAACGTTTCGATTTAAAGCTTACAATAAATTTAAATCTTTGTCTAGATTGAACATACAACACAGTTATCTACTCGTGGGATTAAAATGTTTTATATTCGTATGGTTTTTATCGGTAACGACACGTCATGTCAAAGTTAAACCGTTAAAATCGCTTTAACGGCACTGTTGTTTAGATAGCCAAATTTAATTTTGTCTTATTAAAAACTCTCCAGCCCACATTCATTTTCATTTGCCAACGACTTTTATTGAGTTGGTGAACCTATTTGTTTACATCTTAGATTTTCATTTAGTAATTATATTAATACTATATCCTGTTTGAGAGTAATTGCGGGCATGATATTAAGCTCGACTTTCTTGCAAATTTAGTGACACAAGCTGCTGTAGCTTGTAAGTAATGGACGTTATTCAAAGCCTCAACGGTGTATCGAATATGTCATTTGCACGCTATATAATTGCAGGAAAATCGAATTTAATTAAAAACCTAACGTGCGATTGGTGCTGGTTACCGTTTGCAATACTTTAAAGAAAGACAAAACATCTATTGTATTCCTTCATAATGTTACGAAATATCATAATATATCAATATAGTATTAGTAAAACAAAATCTTACATTTGTGATTATCATTATATCGAAACTTTGTATATAAATTTAATTTAACACAACATATATTGTGTGATAGTTGTACTTATGTAATTCCAGATTATATATTAAATAGATTTGGGTGCATTGAATTGTTTATTTTACGTATTCATTATTTAATTTTCTAACTGAAAATACGCTTAAATATTAATAACATACGTTTTAATAATAGTAATACCTATGCATAAAGTTCCTGAAATAATAATATATCATTATTGTCAGGATAATGTACTATAACCCGCGGTGTATGGTACAATCGACCGTCGGTAACTCGAAGAGTCGGGATATGGCACATGAACGTCGTACACGACTGTTTTAAAGGGATTTATCAACGTCTTTATTAATCGAATAATATCGATATTATTTTTGTTCGATTTACCGATAGTCGGGTGTACGTAACCACGACAGGCGGATGCTACGTCGTATCGTTCAATCGAACTGATTATGATAATATTAAGATGTCCAAGGGCGCCTGTGGACGTAATTCATAACTACAGGAGATGGTTTGACCGATTTATTGGGTAGAAACGTGGATTGGCATCGTTGTCCATAATACGGTGGACTGGTAGATCATCCCTCTCGCATCAAATATACAACGGGCGCCCTTGTCAACATCGACATATTATAATAATTAATACATTGTTTTAATATTTTATTGTCGGTCTGTACATATATATGATCTGTGCGCATAATACATGTAAAGTTGTGCGGTGTTGTCACGCCTTTAACGCGTGTTGGTTTACAATACCAACACCGAAGACCATACGTACCATACTTAAAACATCAACCATGGTTGCACACGACACAAGCTCACGTTGTGAGTATTTTATGTATGGCACGCTTATTATTATTATTATTATTATTATTATTATCACCCAATGAACACTACATATTATTATATTAATAAATATTATGCATACATATAATATTATCCGTATCGCGTAATACCTTTACACCCACTCACAAACTTCATTGGAACCACAGAAAGTCCGTTACGCGCCCTCACCGATTACACTGTAAGTGCTTTTGTAAAAAGAGTAAAACAAAAATACTACCAAAGGTGGTGGTGTATTGAAACGGTCTGTGTCGATATATATTATATATATAATATTATGTAATATATGTGCTTAAAAAGGTGCGTGCTCTCGACTGTTGACGGGCACATGAGATATATCTGTATCCCTTCTGTGTCCGTGGAAAGAAAAATAATAATATTTAACKGGCTGGTATGATGTTGTGTTTTAGATAACGAAGTATCATCCGACAACACTTTGTCGTCGAACGCCGGCGATGACGCCCAAGCCGAAGTGGTTGCGGACGAAGACCCTAGGAATAAACGGTTCTTATTTAATCTGCGAGGAGGAGCCGGCGGTGGATCCGGCAACTTTTTCTTCGACCTGATCCGAGTGAGTCTAATTAAATATATATACGCGTAATTTTATTTTCATCATACAACGTGTGTGCGTTACCTTATTTTACACTTTTCCGATTTTGCTACGAAAACCTCAAAAACACGACCAACTTTTAAACATTATAATAGCATCTAATATACGAACAAAATAAAAATAAATGCTTATTACCTGTATAGTAATATGACTATTGACTAATATGACGCTGTKTATACATACCTACTAATTGCGTCCCGAATTMATATAAGAGCAAACAATTATTGAATTTGATGATCAGTGTTCGGACGCAACTTGACGTGTTTATTTTCAACACGATGAAATTGCGTCAGAATATTATATCATATTGATTTTTTTATTATTTCTTGTTTACTGTTAGGGAAATGGAGCATTAATGAGTAAATAAGTTTTGGGTGAGATGAGATTGATTTATAAACACGAAATGCAATAATTGTTTGAAAACATATTTTTTAATAATTTAACAATATAGCTCAGTGCTTGAATTTTAAAAATAAAAACAGAAGACTCTACAACTTGAAAAAAATTAGTATTCCTTGAAATAATGGAATAATTTAATTTACTTCTTGAGTCCCCACCTCCAAAGCCATTAATTATCTAATAAATAACTACAATTTACGAACACCTATGTCAGAAATGATCCCTTAAAAGCTTTTGTTATTATTCATTATAATAAATAATTTTAATTTATCAAATTAAGGTATATTAATTTATAAATTAATCATGTTTCGTAAAAAAAGTAGATGAGCTCCGCCTATCTTTTTTCAGTATTGGGATTCTTATCAATATGTTTTTTGGGACGCAATAGTAACACGCAGGCACGCAGCCTAATATAATATAATAATGTAAAACGCACTGTGCTAAGCTCTTAAAAACTCAAGACCACGATCTTCGCTATAACGTCTTTAATACCTATCACGTCATCATAATCCGCACGCATGTATATTATATATATTATAAGAATACGCACGAATGTATTCTTGTGTGGTCCTGAAATACCCCAACTGCAATGATACCTATAAATACGATAACTGTATTTTGCAAGCTTACAACTTGCCAATTGCCATAAGTACCTACTGGACGTCATACGAAACGACAAGCCGATTGGCCAGCAATGACACACTTTATAATACTGTACATTTACTATTAACTTACCACTTCTGTAAAGCACAGAGTTTCTAAATGAAAATTATCATTAAATCTCCGAGAAAGTTTTGATAACGTTTCGCTGCCAACATATTATCTAATGCGTCCACAGTGGTTTTACGAGGTTCAATTTTGTAGATTCCATAATTTGATTGTGCTGGTAACAATTAATAMAACTATAACAGAGTTTAATATTGCCAATAAATCGTGGTGATAAAAATTGCGGTGGGTCAACCATGCACTAATTAAATAAATGCTCGCTCAGTGTGCATTATTACCATGTATTATCAATTATCATACGTATGAAGAACATTCACCGGGCATCTAACAAGGCCAAATATRCCAACGAATTCTTAAGAAAACTGAACGCCCACTTTGTAATATAATAGGATATCGTGTTTCATTTGTTTAAAATACCTACCGATAGGACAACTTTTACTTGAAACCTGTCAATTGCATTACCTACAATATATTATACGCTATAAATGGTTTTATGGTCGAGCTATACAATGTACCATACGTATTATTGGCATTTCCAAGGCGTTAGCCACATTAAGTAAATCTCGAATAGCAGTAAAATGTAGAGTGAATTTGGATAAAAAATTTCAAGTTTTAATAATAATTAATGAATCAAGCTGTTTCAATTTTATTCTCCAAATGAGAAACTATGTTGGATTAAAAAACGCTTTTTATTGATCACTGGAATATAAAAAATTTGAAAAACTTTAACAAAAGTTAAAGTTATATATAGAATTATAGATACTAATTTTCTACTATGGTTTTGTTCACTGACTTGAAATTATAAAGCGCCTAAATATTATAGATATGATATGTTGAAGTTCAACCATTCAATCACAATTTACATCATTGCACAACTTTTCATTCACTTGTTTGTATACATACATATAGGTAATATGTTTATATACAATTATATTTATAAAAATACATTTTTTTCTTAGATAAACGAATAAACAGTAAAGGCGTTTAGATCAAAAAGTTCATTTTTTAAATTATTTTTATCATGCCAGTATTTAATACTGGTTATATAAATGTACTGTTAATAATTTTGTAATAGTAGTGGCTAGCAGGACCAGTAGGTATTTTAATAACACATTCAAAAAACAATTTTAATATGTATACAATTTATTTATTTTAATGACGTGAGTAGAGATTAAACGTTAAAAATCTGAACTAATGATAAATTGCTATGCATGTTAAACTGATAAATTCGATAAATGCTCATTATTTTAAAGATTTTTCAAAACAAATTAATTATTTAAAATTTTAAACATGTGTTAATTTTAACACAAAATATTGTAGTAACAGTGTTAAACTTATCATAAAATGACGAAAGTGCAGTAATTCAATATTTTTCATGAGTGAAAGGCGTAAAATGTAAAAACATTATTGAAAATGTAAAATCAATTAAATGATAAGACCTGAAAAATGCTGACCTATATATAAGTTATTGCATAAATAATGAATACATCAATCGAAGGTAATAAATACTAAAATACCATGTATCACAAAACGGTCATTCTTAATCATCCCACATTATAGCACCAGTAGGTATAGATATAGCCATATTTATGTAGTACAACCGCAAAGTATAATTTGGTTATCGTTCTGGTCATCATGGTCGGCCACCTGGGGAAGGTGTACATAATTATGTAATATAGTATTTTGTACCATAATGATTTAGTTTACTCTCGTCGCGAATGAAATGTTATCCTAACCCTTTGTCGACCTCGTTACCTATTAAATTAATTAGCGTTTTTTATATGCTCACATAATTGAACAAAAGTTGTTTGCATTGTTACTGATCTAAATAGAATTGCGTAAATCATGTCATACGTTTAATTAGAAAAAACAAATCAATGTGCTTGTTTTTTTTTCGAGTACCAATCCATAATTGAATAATTTGCTTCAAAAAGTGTTTTACATATTATGTTTAAAAAACGAATTTTTATACAACGCGGTCAACAAAGGGTTTTTCTTAAGACAAAAGAAAAGGTCTAAAAATATAGTTTGAGGCAAAAAAGATTTTTTGGTTTTCAATAGAGGGGAGCGGACAGAGCAGCTAGGGCTGCCGGTGGTTTCTACAGAGTGGTCGCAGGCACCGACCCAAACACATTAACACTCGCACAGCCTCTTCAATATCCATCGGTAAATAACTTAATTCCTAGTCAAACATTTTTTTTTTTAGATTTTTTTAACATGTAGCTCCCAAAGTTAAAAAAAAAAATCATCTTAAAAATTAAGGACGACACTGTATCATGAATACTATCACTCCTTCCCAATAATAATATACAATGTAATGTAGGTAATAAACTAATAAAACACGATTTATCACACTAAAAATTAATAAGGTACAACAAAATATATTGTTATGATACCAYCATAATGCACTGCGGTCAATATAAGACATAAATAGTCGTTTGAACTTTATAAATTATAGTTTTGTTGAAAAATATAAACTCGTTGGGTGTATGATGGAAGTCAAGTGATCGCTTCTACTTTCACTAACCACTATTATGTAATAACCCAGTGCAATTCGTGACATAAATTGTCATCGTTCGTTAGTGTGTTAAAAAAAAAACGAGTCACACTTGCAAATATCAAAACTTATATTATATTTTATTTACATAATATATTATTACAATAAATCACCTACATCAGCTACATTTGATTTATGTCAAACAACAATTAAACAATATTTACTACTCTTAATTTAACAAAACTCAGTCTATTTTTATGAATGACAATATCAATCAATACACATAACTGGTTTTGTTATTTAACAGTGGATGTAATATATATATATATATTATATTATCATTATATAATATATATGACAATAATTCGACTAGAAAAAAAAAATAGTTTTTCAAATTCATTGTCCAGTAAAAATGGAGTGAATATTTTTCCATTGATATCTAACAAAATTAATACACTTACTATGACATTTAATTGCACTACAACCATTCAAACTAATAAATATTTAAATCTGTAAAATGTATCTTAAGCTGTTTATTTTATTTTTTAACTTGAACAATATACCACATACATATCATAAAAAACTATCTAGTGGGTACACGATTCTACACATTTATAGTTAAGTTGCGAAAAATTCAAATTATACAGTGTGTTATAGTAATAGAATTTAGAATCATAGGTACTGAATTAAAATGTTATCTGAAAATTATTTTCACCTAATATTTGAATCTAACAATGTACCAAGTACCTAGCCCTCGCACGAGCACTCTCAACTCTGATTTGCCTATACTATACACAATATTACACATAAATAATAACTTATTGTAAATTGATTTAAAAAATGAATAGTATATATATAAGTATAATCTTTCTTTTATTATTCTTAGTTTATTGAATAAAATATTTGTATAACAATAAATATTTATAAACAACATAATATGAAAAGGTTATTTATATTTTTTTTGTTATTTTTTTTTTTTTTTTTGTTATTAAAATTGAATGAGATAGTTCAATAAATTATTATTTGTTAAAATTTATCAATACCTTTAAGTGCGTTATAAATTCATACTTTCGCGGTTTGTTCATTAATAATAATAAATAACAATATTATCGTTATTTCTTTTTTAATGCTATTATTATATTACCACACAATTTATTCAAATGTATTACACAATAAATATTATACTAATATGAAATGTATTATTATAGTTCTGTAAGAGTTGAGGGTGGTCTATCAGCCAAATTCACGGTGACACATGTATCATAATAGATATTATTATGTTATAATATTGTATTGCCGATATTTTTAATTGATKAAAACACAAAACGACTGCTCTACCCTATCATATAGTGTRCCTACACTAATCCRATTCACTGCCAAAATCATTAACACAGAAATAAATGAATTTCATAGAAAAACACCAAATACAAAACACAATAACCAAAACAATTAGTACGCACTATTAATAATTTGTTATTGTATAAAGCAATGTAGTAAATTATTATATAATCCCCGAGAAATGCCAACTATGATCCTTTTTTCTGTATGTTCTTGTCTCATGATAGTTGGTGGCTGGAAGCGGAGCCAATCAAGACAGAGAAGAGTCAACTGACTCTGTGCCGGCCGAAGGCGAAGCCCAAGARGTGCACGCGGACGTGAATGCCAAAGAAGACGGATACAGCGTCGGCGTACCCGGACCTCTGACGAGAATATTCGTAATTGCCAACAGGGGAGTTGCCAATTTGGTCCAAGACCTGATACTGGTAAGTTCTAAAGTTTAGCGCTTATTGAAAAGCCTCACCCACGAATTCGTATGACAATACTAGGTATACGAATTGCATACAACGTGGTTCTTCGATACAGCAAGCAATTAAAAACCTATATTTTTTGATTATWTTTTATCGCAATAATTTTTTTAGCTTTTTATTTCATACATTCTGAACAAGAATAATTTTCTGAAAATTTAAATTCATTATATAGAATTCTACTAGGTATAATCGAATTTTAAATCACTATAGTTAACCATTACTAATGCGATACATTTTCACCAGTCCTGTYCTATCTGGCTATACTTCACCTAAAATTTAAATACTTATAATTTATAAAGCTCATAATTAATCAAGGGCTCGTGCAGAATTTGATTTTTAAACTTCAAAATTTTCAGTTTCCATTTTGTTACAAAACGCACGAATCGATAACTCATTCACCTCTAGAATATAAAAAGTTTGATRATATTTCTCGTATGTCYGACGTGCATAATATAATATACCTAGTATCTACCTATAATAAAACGCGTTCAGCTTGCCAAATATATTTTATTATATTATATTCGAAAGTATTTAAAAGCCGACGCATTATTATGACGAAATAATAAAAATGTCAGCCCATAAAACAAGTGACAGGATAATATTATGTTTGTTATTAAATTATGATCGTGCAATTAACAACCGTCATCGTGTGTTTTTTTTTCTTTTCAGAGATTGGCCCAGACCACCGAACGAATAGTGAACTTCAAAGCCAGATTAATTACATCCCTCATCTAAGCAAATATTCAAGTTTGTGTAGTAAAATGTAATTTATTACCTGCGAGCGGCGTATTTTAGTCATGACTTATGAGATTAAATCATAACTTAGTTTGCACAACCGTAAACCTACGTCGATTTTTTTATATATAACACGATTTTTTAACTATGTGTTTGAATAACATCTCCAATTCGTGTCTTACCCATCAACTACGTCGTGTCGCACACACTCACCCATACAAATACTCATATACACGCATTAAAATATTTTACAACCAAGTCAACATTTAATRAAATATTCGACATATTATAATGTTCAAATTTTTTTTTTTTTTTCGTAAAATATTGTTCTGCCAATGCAATTTAAACACTGTATACGTTAATAACGATGTCCATATCTCTCGCACAAACAACAAATGATTTTAATAGATYAACATTTTCAAAACAAGTGCCAAAATACAAAATATAATTTTAAAACCATCAGACGATAACGATATGTCATACGATCACCAATTTATAATTATTTATACCTATGACGTGCACTATAATATCAGTAGTCTTGTTGAATATATAGGTACATCTCTTAACGATTTAATCGGCACGTCTTATTAAATTWAATACACAGTGTACCTACAACTATCAATTGGTAGTTATCAACATTAAAACACTGATTTTAGACTATTGTAGTGATTTAATTAATCAATTAAAAAATCAAAATCAAAATTACGTAGGTACTCATGTATAATTAATATTAGTAATAAATATAAAATTGTAAAAACATTATCATATAAATACTTATTTACCTTGTAGTATACTATTTTTATTTATTAGACCCATGAAATACCTAAATGTAAACTTGTCTACTGTATAAATTATATTGGTATTATTTTTTTTTTTTTTTTACATAGGTATTATATAGGGTTTAGGTAGCTTTTTTCTTATATTTTTTATTGTAAATTAAAAAATTATAATTTTACAAACAAAATAAATAATTGCTCAACAATTTTGTTTATGTACCATATTATATGTAATGCATGATGTGTTATAATAACGTAAGGGTATCCATGTCATTATTATAATAAACACATTTCATCCATGTTAATATAATTTACCCATACACAAATTGCATATACTTACTCATTACTTATATATTATAATATTGTATACTAAATAATATACTATGTTCATTATTTTCTTCTTAAAAGTATATCTTCACGGGATGTATAATGTATGTAATATCGTATAATTAAGTCTACTGCGCCATATCGTAGGCTATAATATACTTATAAAGTTATAACTAAAACATTATATTATATAATATAGAATGATGATGTATAGATATTAAATATGTACCCAACACCTGTAATATTTAATGCAGCACGCTCAGTACCTACGCCACAACAATAAAATGTCCCTAACGTGTTCATGTGAAATCTATGAACGAAAACCACATTGTATCGAAATCTCTATATTATTAACGAACATAGGTCATTTCTTCTTTCATGTATTTATCGCAATTTTATTATTATCTTTTTTTCTTTCGTAATTATTGTAATCATACTTGAAACATGTGATAGTACGTAGTCATGGTTATGTGGTTAATTGTTTTATACTCATATATGATATAGGTACACGTTCATAAAATTTGCCGCCTTTCGTTAAGGCATAGGTACAATATAATAATAATAATAATATTAATAATGATAACAGCATAATTACCAATTATYATCATCATCTAACCTTARTTGTCGTCTTGTCGAGAATAATAATGTAAGTAAGATACGGACATGGCCTTTTCCACCAAGAAAAAGAACAGCTCCCTGATTTACGCATTATGAAACGCTTTCGCCAAAAACAATAGAAGTTCGATTCATGTTTCCGCTAAAATTCTTATCTTAATTAAACAATAATAACAATAATATAAACGTTATTTCAATCGTCAATTGATCAGACGAAAATCGGTCAAACAATCAGACGCATTAAAAACCGAAGTCGAGTTCCCACCTATACTTACTTTATTATACTGATCATTATCTATTGCTTTAAGATCAAAATAACTATCGAAAACATTCGTGTAAATGGAAAATTAACTTTTTTTGTTGCATTTTTCTCTGGGCCTGCAGGTGACCAGTAGTGCACGATCATTGATCATTTTCAGAGGAGGACATTGCTCCGCGTTGAGTTAGTTTTTTACAACCCCTTCACAACTCTAACACACATATTCATACATTACCAAGTATTCTTCGTTCACTGCAGTACAATATAATATTGTTTTGATTTTTTAAATACCTATATCATAAAATATTTCATGTTTGATAACACTTTAATATCTGTCGATTTAGCTCCGTGCCATGAAATTGTATTTAACATTCTTATTTTTATTTGCGTTCGATCCTCTGGTATTCTATTATATTATAATTTATAATACTGAGACGGATACATAATTACATCTTACCTATCTTAGATACAATTATAATGCATATTGTGTGCATATGTATTATGTATTATATAATATTATAATATTTCTGGTTCAGTCGTATTTAAATTTCCGGATATTATAATATTATATAGGTATATATATAATATTGTATTTTCGCTTACCATGATCATTATATTATTATTATTATTTTTATTATTATTATTATTTTTATTATTATTATTATTGTTGTTGTTGCTATTTTATGTGTGTATTAATTGTGTAAAGTCGTTAGTTTTTAAGTTAATAATAATAATGATGATGATATAAATATATTATAAATTCATTGATTTTGTATAGTGTTAATGATAATGTAGAAAAGATTGAAATATATAGTGATTTTAAATTAAATTTATTTTATTATAATATTCAACAATTATTTATTATATTATACTATATAAATGTCTAGATAGTTCTTTAATCTATTTTTCTCGCAGTTGCGTGATTGCATGAAAAGATTTAGAGAGCTTAACAACCTCAATGTTCTGATGGAGTTACTAGCTTGAGAAGTGACGTTTTGGTCAGTGGGTCGATAGTCAGATGTAAGTTCGGTGCTGTATCGACTTAATAGTGTCGGTGCGTATGGTTGTACGTTACAAGCCCGCGTAAGCACTGTTCGGAGTTTGCTGGAGTTGGATGGTATGGGTGGTTACGGGTCGCAGCTGGCTGCGTCGTTGGTCCGGACAATTGACTTCGCTCACTAAAGTTGTTTCGGATATTCGCTGTAGTCTTGAGTGCCTGACGGTTGAAGGAATACTGAGAGTGAAGATTATGATCTTGTAGAAAACGTCCGGTATATTATATAGGTACTATTATCCGTACCGACTGGTAAATTATGTATGTGCAGCCGTGTGCTGCTGTGTTTATTATCGGTACGGATTGCTTTGAAATTTGGACTGTTTTTTAATTGTAATTGTAACAATCAGCTCTTAATAAATACTTAATAGTTTTGTAAAATGAAGGTTGGCTCCAACGGACGTTCGTTAGATAATATAATTTACAGCATTAACAATCTTTTATAAAAATTATTATAAAACAAAAAAAGAAACCAGAGTATTAATGTTATAAAATAATAATATTTTATTATAAACTCAGTATAATATACTTTAGTTTTTTAATAACATAAATGGTATGTGCCAGTTAAGTGCAACAGTATGAAAATATAATATTATAATCACCAATTTTGCGAAACAATACATCATAGAAAATAAATTTTCAGTTTGCCAAAATATTTAAAAAGTATACCTACCTATAATATTATAATAATAATGAATTTTGCCCATCGGCTAACAAATATTTGGTGCACCACTTACTTATACGGTTGTGATGGAAAGTGGTGTCGAATCCTGTAATTTTTATACAATTTTTAAATACAATAAAAAAAATACCGAGTATACCCCGATCATACCCAATAACACCGCAAACCATATTTGACGAATAAAACAGAACGTACAGACCAATGAATAATATAAAATATAAATATAACATTACGGTACAAACAAAAAGAAAATCACAAATATTCACGTTGGCTGCCAACAGGTACAAATTATGACTATCCTAAAACCGGGGAAAACAATAAGAATATGTAACAGGTAGAAATCTAAAACGACTCAAACAAACGTGGTTTAACGAAAAGCAGCAGTCAATGACAAAAAATGAAGATGCTCCATGAAACGAAATAGCTTGAATACATAGATGCAAACGTTTCGAATGTACGCATACGCAACAAACGAATAACAAAAAGGAAACCCGAGTCTAAACACTCCAACGCTTTTAAAGAGTTGTTCGGGTAAACGCATAAAGTACGAAACAAAAGCTCAATGTCACCTTAATAAATTTATATATACATGGAGTACGAAAGTTATTGGTAACATTAAGACCAATAATTTAAAAATTTCACGAAAACATAATCGAACTATTCTGAAAACCATACATGCAAAATTAAGAACAACAAAACGACGCAGTGATAGAATTTAAATTTGTTTTGGGGGACAAATAAACACAAGACAAAGGAGACCTTTCAAAATTATACAACAATAGGAATGAATAGATATCATGAGATTAGTATCGTACTGAATACGAATGATGTTTATGTTGCAAATATGAATAATAATACTAYGACTACATATATAATAAATGATAATTTTGCTACATGCAATATCATCAATATTAAAAAATAAAAAGTAAAATAAGGTTTGATTAGACTACTATAGAGGATGACTTAGATTGTTTTTCATTCTCATTTTCTTTACTTGGAAGTAAGGAAAGTTTTAACAGCGAGCATTTAATATTTTGCTAGAAAATTTGCGTAAGGTAACTACTCTAATTATACCACCACGATTCAGGACCAGGATGAAGATCTTGTACCCTGACCAGAACCCATTTTGTAGGAGGAAAATTTTATTATTGGAAAATACAAGGACAAGAGATTGTGGACAGATCAGTATCAGGTGGTAGTGTGATAACCCTCCCAATCTGTAAATAAAAAAGTATTAGAGCTTTAATGTGTCGCTCTCAGCTCTCAACAAAAATATACAAAATATCAAGTTAAGGTTGCCTTCACGACTGGCCGTTAGGAGAAAATGTTTACAGCGCTAACGGCCTTAATGTTAAAATAACTATAGATCACCAGAATATAATATATGGGATTTGAAACATAAAACCAAATTTTTAAAAGGTGTGTTTGATAATAATAAAAATGTTTGGTAAAAYTTACAWAGAAATAATAATAATTCATGCTTGATTASCAAGTGAATATAAAACATAACATATAAATTTAATGATTGATTATCATACATGAATATAAAACAGTATAAATGCAAGCTGCAATGTTKCTTGATTAGCATGCAATTAATATAATAATAATGATAATGACATAGTGCTTGATTAGCAAAAGCAATGAATATACAATAATAATACGTGTTTGATTAGCACATAACTAATTAATACAAAATATAGTTGCTTGATTAGCAAATGCAATGATTTAATACAAAAATAGTGACATAGTGCTTGATTAGCACATGACAATRAATATAATACAATAATATAARATGCTTAATTAGCAATGCAATGCAATGTATAAATGCAATAATAATAAYATAARAGCAAAACATGCCTGACTAACATTTTATATATATGCAATTAATAATAAATTTAAAAGGCTCGTCAGCCGATTACCTGCCAACTGGTGTCCGTTAGCGGCTTCGAACCNAAAATTTTAAACATGTGTTAATTTTAACACAAAATATTGTAGTAACAGTGTTAAACTTATCATAAAATGACGAAAGTGCAGTAATTCAATATTTTTCATGAGTGAAAGGCGTAAAATGTAAAAACATTATTGAAAATGTAAAATCAATTAAATGATAAGACCTGAAAAATGCTGACCTATATATAAGTTATTGCATAAATAATGAATACATCAATCGAAGGTAATAAATACTAAAATACCATGTATCACAAAACGGTCATTCTTAATCATCCCACATTATAGCACCAGTAGGTATAGATATAGCCATATTTATGTAGTACAACCGCAAAGTATAATTTGGTTATCGTTCTGGTCATCATGGTCGGCCACCTGGGGAAGGTGTACATAATTATGTAATATAGTATTTTGTACCATAATGATTTAGTTTACTCTCGTCGCGAATGAAATGTTATCCTAACCCTTTGTCGACCTCGTTACCTATTAAATTAATTAGCGTTTTTTATATGCTCACATAATTGAACAAAAGTTGTTTGCATTGTTACTGATCTAAATAGAATTGCGTAAATCATGTCATACGTTTAATTAGAAAAAACAAATCAATGTGCTTGTTTTTTTTTCGAGTACCAATCCATAATTGAATAATTTGCTTCAAAAAGTGTTTTACATATTATGTTTAAAAAACGAATTTTTATACAACGCGGTCAACAAAGGGTTTTTCTTAAGACAAAAGAAAAGGTCTAAAAATATAGTTTGAGGCAAAAAAGATTTTTTGGTTTTCAATAGAGGGGAGCGGACAGAGCAGCTAGGGCTGCCGGTGGTTTCTACAGAGTGGTCGCAGGCACCGACCCAAACACATTAACACTCGCACAGCCTCTTCAATATCCATCGGTAAATAACTTAATTCCTAGTCAAACATTTTTTTTTTTAGATTTTTTTAACATGTAGCTCCCAAAGTTAAAAAAAAAAATCATCTTAAAAATTAAGGACGACACTGTATCATGAATACTATCACTCCTTCCCAATAATAATATACAATGTAATGTAGGTAATAAACTAATAAAACACGATTTATCACACTAAAAATTAATAAGGTACAACAAAATATATTGTTATGATACCAYCATAATGCACTGCGGTCAATATAAGACATAAATAGTCGTTTGAACTTTATAAATTATAGTTTTGTTGAAAAATATAAACTCGTTGGGTGTATGATGGAAGTCAAGTGATCGCTTCTACTTTCACTAACCACTATTATGTAATAACCCAGTGCAATTCGTGACATAAATTGTCATCGTTCGTTAGTGTGTTAAAAAAAAAACGAGTCACACTTGCAAATATCAAAACTTATATTATATTTTATTTACATAATATATTATTACAATAAATCACCTACATCAGCTACATTTGATTTATGTCAAACAACAATTAAACAATATTTACTACTCTTAATTTAACAAAACTCAGTCTATTTTTATGAATGACAATATCAATCAATACACATAACTGGTTTTGTTATTTAACAGTGGATGTAATATATATATATATATTATATTATCATTATATAATATATATGACAATAATTCGACTAGAAAAAAAAAATAGTTTTTCAAATTCATTGTCCAGTAAAAATGGAGTGAATATTTTTCCATTGATATCTAACAAAATTAATACACTTACTATGACATTTAATTGCACTACAACCATTCAAACTAATAAATATTTAAATCTGTAAAATGTATCTTAAGCTGTTTATTTTATTTTTTAACTTGAACAATATACCACATACATATCATAAAAAACTATCTAGTGGGTACACGATTCTACACATTTATAGTTAAGTTGCGAAAAATTCAAATTATACAGTGTGTTATAGTAATAGAATTTAGAATCATAGGTACTGAATTAAAATGTTATCTGAAAATTATTWTCACCTAATATTTGAATCTAACAATGTACCAAGTACCTAGCCCTCGCACGAGCACTCTCAACTCTAATTTGCCTATACTATACACAATATTACACATAAATAATAACTTATTGTAAATTGATTTAAAAAATGAATAGTATATATATAAGTATAATCTTTCTTTTATTATTCTTAGTTTATTGAATAAAATATTTGTATAACAATAAATATTTATAAACAACATAATATGAAAAGGTTATTTATATTTTTTTTGTTATTTTTTTTTTTTTTTTTGTTATTAAAATTGAATGAGATAGTTCAATAAATTATTATTTGTTAAAATTTATCAATACCTTTAAGTGCGTTATAAATTCATACTTTCGCGGTTTGTTCATTAATAATAATAAATAACAATATTATCGTTATTTCTTTTTTAATGCTATTATTATATTACCACACAATTTATTCAAATGTATTACACAATAAATATTATACTAATATGAAATGTATTATTATAGTTCTGTAAGAGTTGAGGGTGGTCTATCAGCCAAATTCACGGTGACACATGTATCATAATAGATATTATTATGTTATAATATTGTATTGCCGATATTTTTAATTGATKAAAACACAAAACGACTGCTCTACCCTATCATATAGTGTRCCTACACTAATCCRATTCACTGCCAAAATCATTAACACAGAAATAAATGAATTTCATAGAAAAACACCAAATACAAAACACAATAACCAAAACAATTAGTACGCACTATTAATAATTTGTTATTGTATAAAGCAATGTAGTAAATTATTATATAATCCCCGAGAAATGCCAACTATGATCCTTTTTTCTGTATGTTCTTGTCTCATGATAGTTGGTGGCTGGAAGCGGAGCCAATCAAGACAGAGAAGAGTCAACTGACTCTGTGCCGGCCGAAGGCGAAGCCCAAGARGTGCACGCGGACGTGAATGCCAAAGAAGACGGATACAGCGTCGGCGTACCCGGACCTCTGACGAGAATATTCGTAATTGCCAACAGGGGAGTTGCCAATTTGGTCCAAGACCTGATACTGGTAAGTTCTAAAGTTTAGCGCTTATTGAAAAGCCTCACCCACGAATTCGTATGACAATACTAGGTATACGAATTGCATACAACGTGGTTCTTCGATACAGCAAGCAATTAAAAACCTATATTTTTTGATTATWTTTTATCGCAATAATTTTTTTAGCTTTTTATTTCATACATTCTGAACAAGAATAATTTTCTGAAAATTTAAATTCATTATATAGAATTCTACTAGGTATAATCGAATTTTAAATCACTATAGTTAACCATTACTAATGCGATACATTTTCACCAGTCCTGTYCTATCTGGCTATACTTCACCTAAAATTTAAATACTTATAATTTATAAAGCTCATAATTAATCAAGGGCTCGTGCAGAATTTGATTTTTAAACTTCAAAATTTTCAGTTTCCATTTTGTTACAAAACGCACGAATCGATAACTCATTCACCTCTAGAATATAAAAAGTTTGATRATATTTCTCGTATGTCYGACGTGCATAATATAATATACCTAGTATCTACCTATAATAAAACGCGTTCAGCTTGCCAAATATATTTTATTATATTATATTCGAAAGTATTTAAAAGCCGACGCATTATTATGACGAAATAATAAAAATGTCAGCCCATAAAACAAGTGACAGGATAATATTATGTTTGTTATTAAATTATGATCGTGCAATTAACAACCGTCATCGTGTGTTTTTTTTTCTTTTCAGAGATTGGCCCAGACCACCGAACGAATAGTGAACTTCAAAGCCAGATTAATTACATCCCTCATCTAAGCAAATATTCAAGTTTGTGTAGTAAAATGTAATTTATTACCTGCGAGCGGCGTATTTTAGTCATGACTTATGAGATTAAATCATAACTTAGTTTGCACAACCGTAAACCTACGTCGATTTTTTTATATATAACACGATTTTTTAACTATGTGTTTGAATAACATCTCCAATTCGTGTCTTACCCATCAACTACGTCGTGTCGCACACACTCACCCATACAAATACTCATATACACGCATTAAAATATTTTACAACCAAGTCAACATTTAATRAAATATTCGACATATTATAATGTTCAAATTTTTTTTTTTTTTTCGTAAAATATTGTTCTGCCAATGCAATTTAAACACTGTATACGTTAATAACGATGTCCATATCTCTCGCACAAACAACAAATGATTTTAATAGATYAACATTTTCAAAACAAGTGCCAAAATACAAAATATAATTTTAAAACCATCAGACGATAACGATATGTCATACGATCACCAATTTATAATTATTTATACCTATGACGTGCACTATAATATCAGTAGTCTTGTTGAATATATAGGTACATCTCTTAACGATTTAATCGGCACGTCTTATTAAATTWAATACACAGTGTACCTACAACTATCAATTGGTAGTTATCAACATTAAAACACTGATTTTAGACTATTGTAGTGATTTAATTAATCAATTAAAAAATCAAAATCAAAATTACGTAGGTACTCATGTATAATTAATATTAGTAATAAATATAAAATTGTAAAAACATTATCATATAAATACTTATTTACCTTGTAGTATACTATTTTTATTTATTAGACCCATGAAATACCTAAATGTAAACTTGTCTACTGTATAAATTATATTGGTATTATTTTTTTTTTTTTTTTACATAGGTATTATATAGGGTTTAGGTAGCTTTTTTCTTATATTTTTTATTGTAAATTAAAAAATTATAATTTTACAAACAAAATAAATAATTGCTCAACAATTTTGTTTATGTACCATATTATATGTAATGCATGATGTGTTATAATAACGTAAGGGTATCCATGTCATTATTATAATAAACACATTTCATCCATGTTAATATAATTTACCCATACACAAATTGCATATACTTACTCATTACTTATATATTATAATATTGTATACTAAATAATATACTATGTTCATTATTTTCTTCTTAAAAGTATATCTTCACGGGATGTATAATGTATGTAATATCGTATAATTAAGTCTACTGCGCCATATCGTAGGCTATAATATACTTATAAAGTTATAACTAAAACATTATATTATATAATATAGAATGATGATGTATAGATATTAAATATGTACCCAACACCTGTAATATTTAATGCAGCACGCTCAGTACCTACGCCACAACAATAAAATGTCCCTAACGTGTTCATGTGAAATCTATGAACGAAAACCACATTGTATCGAAATCTCTATATTATTAACGAACATAGGTCATTTCTTCTTTCATGTATTTATCGCAATTTTATTATTATCTTTTTTTCTTTCGTAATTATTGTAATCATACTTGAAACATGTGATAGTACGTAGTCATGGTTATGTGGTTAATTGTTTTATACTCATATATGATATAGGTACACGTTCATAAAATTTGCCGCCTTTCGTTAAGGCATAGGTACAATATAATAATAATAATAATATTAATAATGATAACAGCATAATTACCAATTATYATCATCATCTAACCTTARTTGTCGTCTTGTCGAGAATAATAATGTAAGTAAGATACGGACATGGCCTTTTCCACCAAGAAAAAGAACAGCTCCCTGATTTACGCATTATGAAACGCTTTCGCCAAAAACAATAGAAGTTCGATTCATGTTTCCGCTAAAATTCTTATCTTAATTAAACAATAATAACAATAATATAAACGTTATTTCAATCGTCAATTGATCAGACGAAAATCGGTCAAACAATCAGACGCATTAAAAACCGAAGTCGAGTTCCCACCTATACTTACTTTATTATACTGATCATTATCTATTGCTTTAAGATCAAAATAACTATCGAAAACATTCGTGTAAATGGAAAATTAACTTTTTTTGTTGCATTTTTCTCTGGGCCTGCAGGTGACCAGTAGTGCACGATCATTGATCATTTTCAGAGGAGGACATTGCTCCGCGTTGAGTTAGTTTTTTACAACCCCTTCACAACTCTAACACACATATTCATACATTACCAAGTATTCTTCGTTCACTGCAGTACAATATAATATTGTTTTGATTTTTTAAATACCTATATCATAAAATATTTCATGTTTGATAACACTTTAATATCTGTCGATTTAGCTCCGTGCCATGAAATTGTATTTAACATTCTTATTTTTATTTGCGTTCGATCCTCTGGTATTCTATTATATTATAATTTATAATACTGAGACGGATACATAATTACATCTTACCTATCTTAGATACAATTATAATGCATATTGTGTGCATATGTATTATATAATATTATAATATTTCTGGTTCAGTCGTATTTAAATTTCCGGATATTATAATATTATATAGGTATATATATATTATTGTATTTTCGCTTACCATGATCATTATATTATTATTATTATTTTTATTATTATTATTATTTTTATTATTATTATTATTGTTGTTGTTGCTATTTTATGTGTGTATTAATTGTGTAAAGTCGTTAGTTTTTAAGTTAATAATAATAATGATGATGATATAAATATATTATAAATTCATTGATTTTGTATAGTGTTAATGATAATGTAGAAAAGATTGAAATATATAGTGATTTTAAATTAAATTTATTTTATTATAATATTCAACAATTATTTATTATATTATACTATATAAATGTCTAGATAGTTCTTTAATCTATTTTTCTCGCAGTTGCGTGATTGCATGAAAAGATTTAGAGAGCTTAACAACCTCAATGTTCTGATGGAGTTACTAGCTTGAGAAGTGACGTTTTGGTCAGTGGGTCGATAGTCAGATGTAAGTTCGGTGCTGTATCGACTTAATAGTGTCGGTGCGTATGGTTGTACGTTACAAGCCCGCGTAAGCACTGTTCGGAGTTTGCTGGAGTTGGATGGTATGGGTGGTTACGGGTCGCAGCTGGCTGCGTCGTTGGTCCGGACAATTGACTTCGCTCACTAAAGTTGTTTCGGATATTCGCTGTAGTCTTGAGTGCCTGACGGTTGAAGGAATACTGAGAGTGAAGATTATGATCTTGTAGAAAACGTCCGGTATATTATATAGGTACTATTATCCGTACCGACTGGTAAATTATGTATGTGCAGCCGTGTGCTGCTGTGTTTATTATCGGTACGGATTGCTTTGAAATTTGGACTGTTTTTTAATTGTAATTGTAACAATCAGCTCTTAATAAATACTTAATAGTTTTGTAAAATGAAGGTTGGCTCCAACGGACGTTCGTTAGATAATATAATTTACAGCATTAACAATCTTTTATAAAAATTATTATAAAACAAAAAAAGAAACCAGAGTATTAATGTTATAAAATAATAATATTTTATTATAAACTCAGTATAATATACTTTAGTTTTTTAATAACATAAATGGTATGTGCCAGTTAAGTGCAACAGTATGAAAATATAATATTATAATCACCAATTTTGCGAAACAATACATCATAGAAAATAAATTTTCAGTTTGCCAAAATATTTAAAAAGTATACCTACCTATAATATTATAATAATAATGAATTTTGCCCATCGGCTAACAAATATTTGGTGCACCACTTACTTATACGGTTGTGATGGAAAGTGGTGTCGAATCCTGTAATTTTTATACAATTTTTAAATACAATAAAAAAAATACCGAGTATACCCCGATCATACCCAATAACACCGCAAACCATATTTGACGAATAAAACAGAACGTACAGACCAATGAATAATATAAAATATAAATATAACATTACGGTACAAACAAAAAGAAAATCACAAATATTCACGTTGGCTGCCAACAGGTACAAATTATGACTATCCTAAAACCGGGGAAAACAATAAGAATATGTAACAGGTAGAAATCTAAAACGACTCAAACAAACGTGGTTTAACGAAAAGCAGCAGTCAATGACAAAAAATGAAGATGCTCCATGAAACGAAATAGCTTGAATACATAGATGCAAACGTTTCGAATGTACGCATACGCAACAAACGAATAACAAAAAGGAAACCCGAGTCTAAACACTCCAACGCTTTTAAAGAGTTGTTCGGGTAAACGCATAAAGTACGAAACAAAAGCTCAATGTCACCTTAATAAATTTATATATACATGGAGTACGAAAGTTATTGGTAACATTAAGACCAATAATTTAAAAATTTCACGAAAACATAATCGAACTATTCTGAAAACCATACATGCAAAATTAAGAACAACAAAACGACGCAGTGATAGAATTTAAATTTGTTTTGGGGGACAAATAAACACAAGACAAAGGAGACCTTTCAAAATTATACAACAATAGGAATGAATAGATATCATGAGATTAGTATCGTACTGAATACGAATGATGTTTATGTTGCAAATATGAATAATAATACTAYGACTACATATATAATAAATGATAATTTTGCTACATGCAATATCATCAATATTAAAAAATAAAAAGTAAAATAAGGTTTGATTAGATTACTATAGAGGATGACTTAGATTGTTTTTCATTCTCATTTTCTTTACTTGGAAGTAAGGAAAGTTTTAACAGCGGGCATTTAATATGTTGCTAGAAAATTTGCGTAAGGTAACTACTCTAATTATACCACCACGATTCAGGACCAGGATGAAGATCTTGTACCCTGACCAGAACCCATTTTGTAGGAGGAAAATTTTATTATTGGAAAATACAAGGACAAGAGATTGTGGACAGATCAGTATCAGGTGGTAGTGTGATAACCCTCCCAATCTGTAAATAAAAAAGTATTAGAGCTTTAATGTGTCGCTCTCAGCTCTCAACAAAAATATACAAAATATCAAGTTAAGGTTGCCTTCACGACTGGCCGTTAGGAGAAAATGTTTACAGCGCTAACGGCCTTAATGTTAAAATAACTATAGATCACCAGAATATAATATATGGGATTTGAAACATAAAACCAAATTTTTAAAAGGTGTGTTTGATAATAATAAAAATGTTTGGTAAAA